GCCCATTTTGTCACTGATCTATCGAATAAGTAACGGGACGCCAAAAGCAGAAGCAGGGCATAACAGCGCCAAGTTCATGAATGTGCAAGCTGAAACTAAACCGTGTCCAACCATCGTTCAGCTAACTCAGGTCCGAAAAAATGAGAACGAGTCTGCCTACAAATACAGGGCGAATACAATTTGCATTCTCTTGAATAATCGTGACCGATGAGGAAGGTGTGTTTGCGAAACAATTTTGTCCCATGTGATTGTTCCCATATCGTTGTGTTTGGTCCTGGTGGCTTGCAGTTGAACAGAACAGAAAGGTTTGTTATCGAACGGCAGTGGCAGTTCGGTTTTTCTGAGACGGTGTGGATAAGGATTAATTCATCAGCTCAGTGGTTTATGAAACGTCATCAATGGATCGATCTTATTCTCACAAAGCCTTGGAACTGAACCACACAAACGTGTCAGATCCAAGAGCGTAAGTGAACGTGAATCAAGACTTCTTGCTGGTTGTCAAGACCGCACAAAAAACCGTATAGTAACAATCACAACTGATAGAGCACCACACATGCATGAGTATATGTTCCACCTAAACGTGGATGGAGTTCATCAACTTCCGCAGACCACGTGTCTGTCTTATTAGTTGGAATTTGGTTAGTTCTCAATCGGTATGCTTGTTGCTATTAGGAAAGAAAGCATGTGAATCGTTAGCTTTCTTCAGTCAGTCAATTACAATCAATCTCCTACTATATCGCACCCCTGAGAATTCACATTTTCCCAGTATGTTCTCACTTTTTTCAAAACTCAAACCAACCAATGTAAGGGATCGGACGTCAAAATGTGTAAGCGCCTGCCGATTAGAGAGAAACAGAATGTGTTGGAAATGCTGAAATAGCCAGGTGTGACTCTGAGCTCCGTAGCCCAATCACTTGGAATTCCCCGAAAGATTGTTGTATCCCAACGAACGACTATAGGGGAATTTTTGAATGTTAATGTGATTATGATAGATAAAACAGTTGTATATTACGGTGGACGTCATATAATCAATACTATGGTTAGCTTAATATTGCAATGGAACGAAGGAATATCAGGAATTACTATGGGATAACTGGGTCAGACAAAGTTCCCCAAGAAAGGTAGGTAGTTTCGGGATAAGTTGACACTAAGAACTGAAAAAGGGCTGAATACCGCATGCAATGTACTAATATTAATCTGTCATGAAAGATTTAAATTTCTTCGATACATAAATGATACAGTTTCAGTTTCAGTTTTACAACCATTAACCATGCACTTTCGTGCGCGGGTTTTGGTTGCTGTCTTTTGGATGCCCATTTGGATAAAATAGCGAAATGAAGATTGGAATGTCGAAGCAAATTCAAGCGGAAGATGGGGAATACATAGAGTGTGTTAGGAAAATTACGAGTGGATGCACGAGCGCCACTGTTTGCGACACCCAGCCATACCACTCAGTGTCTCTAACCATCGGTGACCATCTTCCCGAGGTCCCCAGCCAGGGAGCCTAACGGGGCCTATGTAACCTAGTCTCCTGGTTAGGGTTTTCATACCCTCATGCCAGGTCTTAGCTTGACCGCCCTTGGTTTTTTTCCAATCGCTACCAGCCTTGGCAAACATCGTTCGCCATGGCAACCTATCTGGTGACATGCGTAGCACATGTCCCAACCAGCGTAATCTATGGAGGTCGATCACTTGTTCTAGTGGACGACCGCGACTGCCTAAAACTCTACGCCTAACCTCAGCATTGCTAGTCCGGTTACCCCACCAGACACGTGCAATGCTACGTAGACAGTGGTGTTCAAACACCGACAGTCTGTCTTTATCCTGTTCCCTTAGTGGCCAAGTCTCTGCACCGTAGAGCAGGACTGGCCGAACTGCTGCAGCATACACTCGACCCTTCACAGACAGCCGGATTTCGCGACGGCGCCACAAATGTCTCAAGTTGGCAAATACCAATCGATCCTTTTGTATGCGCGCCGACACTTCATCTGCGATGCGTTCACCGGGTGAGATATAGCTGCCTAGATAGCAAAATTTGTCTACTTCCTCTACTACTTCCCCAGTTAGGGTGAGACTGCGTGCTGGATCAACCCAATCTTGTAGTAGCATTTTACACTTTGAAGGTGAAAAACGCATACCGAACATCGCTACACTAGCACTCAAACTTTCCAGAAAAGCTTGCAACTGACCTGGATCGTCACTTAGTAGCACAATGTCGTCTGCATACTCTAGATCAGACAGTCTGCCACCAGGAAGTAAATGGATACCGCTATCCCTGCACGAGGATAGGGCTGTTTCAAAAATTATATCTATGACAAAGTTAAATAGAAAAGGAGAGAGAGGGCAACCCTGTCGAACACCACTTTCCGTGGTGGACTCGGGTGAAAAAGTGCCGTAAGCCCGAACATAAATGATACGCTCAACGGTAGATCTAAATTCCTCCATAAGTAAACAGTTTATAATTATAAACATTGGGAACAACTAACGGGATTAATCTACTTTTATCGATCGGGTTTATTTTGTCACAAAACTATCAACCGATTTTTATACTACTTATTAGCATCTAATACTGTTAACCCTGCTATGTAGCGGTTTCTGGAATTTACCCACTTTTTCGAATTCCCGAGGGGTGCGAAATAGTAGATTTTAGAGAGAGATTTTTTATCCACGTTATTCTTCCAGTGATCAACTGGATCAACTGTGATTGTTTGCCAAGAATAGAATCGATCTAAGCGACATGAAGAACACAGGGGGGGGGACAGGATAGACTTACGAAGCACAGTATGAGCACCAACCATATATCGTCCGTCAATCAGATATTCCAACTGAAGAAGAATAATGTGGGAGCAGAAAGAAAGGTTTCGTGAGAAAAATAAACCAGGAGGCAACCAGAATCGAAAAATGTTTTTCTTTAATTTATAGTGCGTAATGAAAAGAGAAATAAGTTTAGTACCTTTACCGATTGTTTCCCTGGTGGTGGTGGTGGTGGTGGTGGTGGTGGTAGTGTTGAATATGGTACTTACCGAGCGGAATAAAAGTAGCCACTGAATGTTCGTCCTCTCAGACAATAGCAACGCCACATACATGGATTGTGAAGTCATGTTCATACGCTGTTGGGCTACTTTTGCCGCCTGAACTGACAATGAAAGAACGAAAGTGGTGAGTACGATTTGAAAAAAGAATCATCGAAAAGAATCAATCGAAATAAGAGTGGTTTCAAATTGCACAAATGAGGTCTATCGGTATTTACGAAAATACACGAAAAATACACAGCGAATAAGCGAGCTTCCTCGAATTCTTTTCAGAATATGAATTGATACAAAAGGAACGTGCACACAAGTCTCACAATGCTTCGACTGTCAGATATTCGTCCAGTCTTATCAAAACTGAGGTAAATAGACTAAACTCTTCGATCGAATTCTGAAGATTGAGAACAGCTAACACCTGCGGCATGGTATCAGATTTCTCCGTGGAAGGAAGAATGTACGGTCGAAGCTGGATGTGGATGTTGATTATCTCAATGCCGCATTCTTGAGCCAGTTGTTAGAAATTCCTCCTGCGTACTCGTCACATCATGTTCGTAATGGGAAATCATTCTCATATTTTGATGCTTCAAAACTTTTAAATGTTTGCAATTCATCTTCTGCTGCGGGCCCAAACGACTTGCATCCAACACAGTCTAAACTTGGTGCTGCTTCCCTAGCTGGGACAATGACTTTCATTATAACTGAATCTCTTGACAGTTCTACTATCCCCGACTTTTGGGGACCACTCCCCCAAAACATTCAAATCTTCTATCCTCTCCAAACGTTTTCGTTCCATAGCGTTGGCGTCTTCAACCCTTAAGTTGATTGAAAAAGCTATCCTCAAACGCCTTCAGCAGTCCACAAACATTCCAAATAATCCTTTACAGTTTGCTTACAAGCCTAGCAGACCCATCTTGGACGCAGCCTCTACCCTTATTCAATTTATTACTAAATCTTTGAACAGCTCTGTTAAGTCTGTTTGGTGTATTTTTCTTAACTACTCTTCAGCATCTGATTCCATTCCTCGATCTAAGTTGTGACAGAAACTGGAATCGTTTGAATGCTCCAAACCACTGTTAGCTTAGCTATCCAACTATTTTACTGTTTGGGGAAAGCGTCATTTAAATTCTTAGTCAACAACTCCGGGGTCCTTCAAGGAGTGGTGCTATCCCCATACTTATTTGCCACTTATATTTGTGATATTCCTTGTGTTTCTCTTGCACGAATTTTGAAATATGCAGATGATGTCGTGTTGTGTCAACCCATTTCTTCTTAGTCCTATATAAGCCCCTTCACCGACTATCTTGTCAAATTCAGTCATTCTCCTCCTCATCGGGGCTAACCCTGAACCCCAGTAAATGTGTTGATTATCAATCAGTCATTCTCCTCCTCATCGGGGCTAACCCTGAACCCCAGTAAATGTGTTGAGTGTTTATATAGTTTTACTCGGTCTCCATATCCGACAAACCCCACAGTAATGAATAACAATTCTTTATCTAAGGAGAACTCTGTCAATTATCTAGGTGTAACCATATGTAGCGAACTTCATTGGCTAATCCGCATCAACAATTACATTGGTGAACTGCGGCGCCTATCATTTCAAATACGAAACCTCAAGCAGTTTCGCGTATCCCAGTCAGTTATTTCTACTTTTGTTTATCAATGTGTTTTCCCCATCTTACTCTACTGTCCCCCGGTTATTTTTCCTGGTTTACTCAAACAGGATTGTAAGGTTTTACGCCACAGTCTAAATATTATTAGCCGCGTCTCTTCTATGCCTGTGAATGAGTTAGCTGTGAAGCTTTCATATATTACGATATTTCCTGTGAGAAATTTACGGAGAGGATCCTCACAGATCCTGACCACCCATTGCATGAAGAACTGACACTTAGTCGTTCCCATCCCTCCACATGCTCTCATTTCAGCCCAGTTTCATCTCGTAAAATCGCTCACCGTAACTGATCTGTGCACTATGTTACCGGTTTACTCCGACAAAAAAGATGGGGTAACAAATGACCTCAGTCTAAACCTCGGATTATGAAATGTCCCCATATCTATAAACATTTTTCCCGTATCATATTGTTAGGACATGGCGCACAGAACCCGTCAGGCTACGCATCTGTCTGCGTCACACCACCAGTGCGTTCGAGACGCCCAAAGGCGAATCGATTCCGAATTCGATGACTAAGTTGAATCAAAAAGCTGTCATCCGATAGATCAATCGGAGTGTCACGGACGCAGTCTGGGTGGTGCGTCACTACGTCATTCTCGTAGGATCAATTTACCGAATGCTTCTCGCGACATGATCAATAATACACTCTGACTGTGGTTTCTCCAGTTGTGTTCTCTCTCCCGTATTATTGTTAGGAGCTAGTTAAGAGGCGCTCTTATCAGGTTTGTTTAACTGAAATGTAAGCTTCAGTACTTGCACAAGTTATACACAATACAATACAATAAAGTGAACTTTAATCCGGATAAGAAACCTGATTTAAACTATTGATAGTTTCTTTCCTATGAAACAGACTGCACGACGGATGTTGACTTTTTATGCTCCCACCATGTTTGACCTCGTGGTCACTTTTGCTTAAATACGACCTTTTTTGATTTTTTAAATTTATTTTCTGTCACAATAAACAATATTTTTGATCTTTTAGGTCTTAAATAAATGTTGACTCGAGTCGTTTTTGTTTTAATTTGTGATATTGACCGTATAACTGGCCGTTTTGATTTGCACAAAATACGGAACCAAATTGAAGGTTTTGCTTGCGTTGAGCACGGGGGCAGGGTTCTGGATTGTTTCCTAAAGAATAGTCATGTGGGTGTGGGTATATGATGTACATGAAGGAGTATCAGCAGAGCAGAGACCTTCCTGTAGTGCCATAATGCAAGTACAACAAGTACATCAATTCGTTTGAGAACATTTTTGGGACCATTTGGATGAGGTCCAGTATGAATTAATTATTTTATCAAACAATTCCAGATGACATTTTAACGTTTATGGCACTTATGATACAACTTTATCCTCAATAAATATTTTAACCTTTGTGTTTGATACCATTTACATTATTATTGTTGTTATTACTGTATCCATTTTTGCTTTCTATTACCACCATTGTTAATGTCATCACTTTTATATTCCTGACAACTTTTGTACCTTTATTATATACTACTTATGAGTAGATAACTTATAAATGCAGAATGTTGTCAGGGGGCATAAACGGTCAACGCCCGCCAATTGCACTAAAGCTGATTTTAATCACCGTCGGGTCTTTGAGAAAGTATTATAATCTCGCATAGTCTGACAACTAAAGACTATCTAAAAAAATTGTATATATTCAGTAGCAGGTTATAGGTGCCATTTCAATCGTGGCAATATGCATATGACATACAAATACTGTGGCTGTGTGGTCGCTCCGTACGTTGGAGGTACACTAGAAACGAGTTCCGCTTCAGTGACAGCTTAACACGAGTGCCTATCCACTGACGTAGTCGCAAGATGAACTCTAGTTCTCTTGCATGGAAAATTAAAATGTCAAGGTTTAGCCGACCTGCTCATATGTGGACTGAACAGATTTACCGACATTCAAATGTTGCCCTCAAAGACAGATATTCAGTGTTTATTTTTTTCTGAGTTAAACGAAAGGATCGGGATAGAGCCTCTGTGAACTGTCTATGAAAACGCGCTATATTAAAATCTCTCGGCCACTTAGGTAATTCAACGATGATGAATTTCGTACCATGTGATTAGTGATTGATGATAACAAAAGAATCGATTTCAAGTCGCAAATTATGTTCTATTTCTGTGCTCAGGAGACGTAACTGTTCCGATAGATTCTGTCGAAAGCCTCTCTCTCTAACTCAATCAAATTTTCATACAGGTTTGAAAACATGTTCCAAAGTAAATCTGTCAGGCAAATATTACAACGTTTTACATCTGGACTCCGTTGAGTAAGCCGAACAACGCATCAACAAAAATAGCATCAGTTGCTTACCTCAAAGATTCGCTCAAATCGTACACGAAGTGTTTTTAGTTTCATCATCGACTGGTCCAAGATCACTGTACTCCCACAATCACCAAATTCCATAATTTCCAAATCTTCACAGCAATCACTCAGACATTTCGCATCGTATACATTATCGTGAAATGGATGTGATAAGATAGTCCAACCGTGTGATGTCCAAAAAAGTATTAAATAAATAAAACATGTGACCGAAAGTGAGACACACAAACGCATAGCCTCAGATTCTTTCACGTACCAAGCAGTGCATATCGATCGATCGATTGGTCAGGGTAAAAGCGCCGTCTATAGTTTAAAAGTCACGTGATCTTGGTGTCACCTGTTAAGGTCATTGCGGAGTGTAGTTGCACACTGCTCATATCCGAATTTGGGTGTTTTCCAGTGCTTACATCCCATTAAACCTTTTCGTTTCATGGTATTTTGCCTATTCTCTTTTTGCATATCCGTCGCCACCCACGAAGAACCTACATGATGGCGAGTTCTGGTTGTCTATTTGACCTAACCGGGACTAGATAGTGTGAGATGCTTGGCTGGTATGTGTGTGTGGCAGGATGTCCCCCGTGNCAAATGGGCCGAGTCCCGGTGCGGGCTGGAACCATCGTCGACAGATAGGAGGTCCTCTGTGGAGAGGACGAACTGACAATCTGAAAGAGTGGAAAATGCAGACACCATGAACCAAAAGGTTCAGTGAGAAATGAAAACGGAATGGCACGTTGCCAAGATCGTTACAGTAGGCCGGCCGAATACTACTGCATATTTGTGTCGACTACGCTAAAGTACCAATGTCCCCGCTGTTACACTGCATCGGTGGATCTCTGGGACTTTGAGTGATGCTACTTATTTCCCTGTGTTGCGTAATCACTGCTATTCTTAGTCGACAATTAGCAGTCCCGATAGAGGAGCACTCACTGTAATTGGCTCGTCCGAATTCCTAAATTCTCCCGATGGGAGTGGACTCTGCGAAAATATAACTACACCATTTACAACTCAGTTAAAAATTTGGCAATCCTTTTACTCGAGGGAATGGTCAATAGATTACGTACTTTGGTTGTATCTCATCAAGACTATCCCGAATCTTGTCCCGCGATGTGTAGCCCATTAGATGACCGCGCTCTGTTCGTGACCCTGAGGCCAACGCATTCAGTAGGATCGAGAAAATGTCGGCACCTTCTTTCGGTGGCGAGTGGTCTTAATCAAATCGGATTCATACAGTTAGGATTCTCTGGGAGAAGGTCGAGCATTCCCTGACAACTTTTTCCTTACCGTTTGTTTTGCACCTTCAAAGTGCAAAGTACGTATACAAGACTGGCAGGAGCCTATACCTGAACACACTGTGTGGTGATTAGCTGAAAGTAGTTGAGAGCTTTAAGTACCTCGGGAGATTGATCGTAGCTGGTGTCGGTGTTGGGAAGAAGATCAAATCACGAGTAGTGAAAGCTAGAGCAGCTTTTGTAAACCTGCAACACCTGTGGCACCGACATAACATCCGACTATCCCTTACGGGAAGGGTGTACACAGCCGCGGTTTGTAGTGTTCTACTTTGCGATTGCGAGACTTGGCTCCTCCGCGTTAAGGATGCTGATCGATTTTGGATATTTGGCCACCGATGTCTCCGAAGCATTGCTCGTGTCTGGTGGGAACACCGGGTGAGTAATGACGACAAGTTCAAAATCTAAGTGGAATCCACATAGTACAAGCAAAAATGGCATGGCTCGAAATGTGTGTGTGGGGGGGAGGGGCAATTTGGCTCCAGCTATACTACCAGTGAGTTGCATAACGTCAAGCGCGAACATTCGCGAAACGGTCATGAACAGGAATGCAATGAATTTACACCCACAGGGGATCACGAATCACAGTAACTCGACAGTTAACGGACCGTCATTTGTAAACACAGAGACTCGCATTTAACTCACACTTATTTGTGAATAGTGTTGTGGTATAATTGTTATTGATTGAGTGTAAATCCCGGACAATGATGTAAACGCACTACTGATTAGCTCTAATAAGAGTGAAACTCGAGTCCACAGTGCTTCTGAGTGTATGATTGTCTGGAACAACTGAGGAATGTGCGGGAAAGTGAAGTCTGAAGAATGGTCAGTTCCAATCAAACACAGAGACTGACTTAATCTAATGGTCCAAAGAGTACAATGCTCGATGATGACCGACGCGGGTTAGTGAGGTGGACAGTTGTCATCATACGATTCATCCAGGTGGTCCTGGACGTATGAGACAGCATGATACCAAGACAGCATGTGTTACGGTATGGACAAGCGGTCACCAAAAAATCCAAGCAGTATAAAGTGAGCAGTGATGCTGTAGACAAACAGCAGATTCAAATTCGAGTCACATATTGATTGGCATCCACTAACGGTATGAAATAAACAACTTCCAGAGAGAGTGTGGAACGGCGTACTTGGGAAAGTAAATAAAATAAGTGACTAAGCCTGCAGAAGACCGTATGGTGCTTGAGTTTAACCATGGATCGAACGGTGTCCAAGTCATCATCATCATCATCATCATCATCATCACCATCAGTGCGATCAAAACACTTTCTCTTTAATATCGTTTTCAAAACTTCTGTATTTTGCTCATACATTCTACACCTACTCGTTATGCCACTGACCTAACCTTATCAACGGCCTGACAGGAGCAAGGAAATCGTGAGTACTGATCTCATTGCTAGGGAAGGAATGTGTGGGGAATAATTTTTTGTGAGAACCAATTTGTTGGCAATGCCTTTCATGAGAAAGAAAATTTGAAAGACAGATAGATAAGACAGATGTTCCACAATTTTCGGTCCAGGCGAAAAAGGACACTGGAAGACAGAATNGGGGGGGGGGAGGGTGGTTGGCCAGCTGAGAGAGCGGATTAAACGATAAAAGGATAAAGGAGAGTTAGAACCGATGGGAGTTCTGAACAGCAGAAAATAGAATAGTAACGATCAAATAACAATAACAATGCGACTCATTACCCAACAATGGGAAC